CACCTTGTAGGGAAAGTGGACAAGATCCGTGTTGGGAGTGGGGAGAGGTCCAAGGAGGAGGAGCCAGCTTCCCATGACCCTTCAAGTGTCCAGAAAGGGCGGGAGAGGGGTGGGGAGAGGTGGCTGAAGGGTCCCCAGACTCTGCTTGTTCTCACGGGAAGCCCTGACCTCAGGGTCCTCGGGGGGAGTGGACAGCCACAGGAAAAAAACGGCAGGAAGTTTTCGGGTGGGGAGGCTCTGTTGGGAACCCTCAAACTTTGCCGGGCTCCACCCCTTCCCAAGTCTCCACCCCAAGTGCAAAGAGATCACTTCTTAAATTACAAGGATTTCCAAGCTTCTCCCAAGCTGGGGGACTCCTTTCCAAACTGCTGCACACCCAGGTAAAGAAAGAAATCCCAGTCTGAATAACGGATTGGAAACTTACCGAGCGCGGCGGAAAAAGTCAGAGTTGAGTCTGGTCCCTCGCTTGGGCCTCCGTGCCCCGCCCTTCTCCTCCCTCCTTGCACCCTGTCTAGGCCCCCGCCTCTCACCGCCTTTCCCCCTCCCTCCCTCCCTCTCCCCTCTTGCTCCCTCCCTCCCTCTCCCCTCCAATCCCGGAACTCTCTCTCTCTCCCTCGCTCCCTCGCTCCCTCTCTCTCTCCTTCTGCCTCTTGTCTCTCTCGGTCCTGTCCTCACTGTCTTTACGTCCTTCCTCCTCTCTCTCCTCACTCTCCTGGTTTCTCTTTCTCTGCTCCTCTCAATATATACTGACCCTTTTATACCCACCCTCACCACACCCAGCTGAGGTCTGCAGCCAGAGGGAGGGCCCAGGCACTCGGATTCCTCATTCTCTGGGCCCCCACCCTCTGCCCCCAGACCGGCATCTTCTGGGGCTCCCTCCTGCGGTTGAGATGATGCGTCCTCGGCAGGAAGGGAACAGAGCTGGGGGCCTCAGGTGGGGCAAGCATCAGGGGTGGGAGGATTTGATTCTCAGGCCTGTGCTCTGGAACTGGTCCTGAGACTGATGTTTGCTTTCCTTGATGGGGCATAGGAATGAATCCTCAGAGGGATGGGAGACTGGGGGATGAGGCCAGATTCCTGCAGCGTGGAGTGAGCTGAGGGCTGGTGGCCTTGGCACCATGGTGGGGGTCAGGGGATGGGAAATGAGGAAGTGTGGAACTCCAGAAGGGGGCAGGAGGTGGAAGTTAAGAACCCAGGGCTACTGTTTCCTGCCTGGGGGACCTTGACCCATTATTTCAACTCTCTGAGCCTCAGTTTCCTAATCTATGAGGTGGGTACAATACTACTCATAATGCTGACAATATACTGACAATACTGACAATACTGATAATAACAATTCTGATACTTATTCTAAACGAATAAGGTAATACCAGTGCACTAACACACCTAACATGTTTATTCCTTTCCTCATCAAACATTCATTGGACATCTATTATGAACCAGGACTTAATAATGAAGAAAACAGATGGGAGCCCTGCTGCTCTTATGGAGTTTCCCTTCTAGTTGAGGGAGAGGGACGATAAAGACAAAACATCAGTGAAGAAGATAGATTTCAGATAGTGATAAAGGCTTTGAAGGAAATAAAATAGAGTGACGCTGCTAATGATGGGCGGCTACTTTAAAAGGGTGATCTGGCCAGGCCTCTCTGAAGAGGTGACATCTGAGCTGAGACTTGCAGACGGGAGTCATCTGAATGCGGGGCAGGGAGAGGTCGTGCACAGGCCTTTGAGAACAAGTTCAGGTTGTTTGAGAAGCACACAGAAGGGCCAGTGTGGCCAGAACATAGGGAACGGAACGAGAGAGAGTGGTAGGAAGGGAAATCAGAGAGGGCCCTTGAAGCCTAGAGGAGGAGTTTGGATTTTATTCTAAGTGCAGTTGGAAACCATTGGAGGGTTTTAAACAGAAGTGCAGTACCAGAGACTTAATGTCAACTATTATTGTTATCATTGTTATTTAATTCTTGGGTTACTGAATTAGGGTGGGGGGTGATCACCACTAAGTACCTGGGTCTCTTGGCAGGGTTGGGTGCTTGGTGAAAAGTGAGGGACAGGGAACCAGATATCTGGAATATGGAATTAAGAGCTGGAGAACTGAAATCCTGGGTCACTACAAGGGAAGGGAACTGAACGATGGGATGTCTGGGTATCTGATTGGGCCAGAGCTAGAGGGAGGGAGAATGGCTGGTCATCTGGGCTCCCTGAGGGGGTGAGGGAAGGGCAGTTCAGGGATTGGGTGGGTACTCAGGAGACCTGGAAGCTGGGTATCACTATAGCACAGACTCTATAGAGATACGCTGGCTGGATTCAAATTGAAACTGCTTTACTCATTAGCTGTGATTTGGGGCAAGTTACTAATGTCTTTATGCCACAGTTTCTTTATCTGTAAAATCGAAATAATAATAGTAAATACATCATGGAGCAGTTCTTAGAGGAGTGCCCGGCACCAAGTAAGCACTGTTGTATGTGCTTGTCATACCAGACACTGGGGTCCTGAGTGGATTCAGTACTGGGAGACCCAAGATCAAGGTCTCTAGGATTTGGGGAAGGGGCAAAATCTTGGGTCCATTGGGTCCCAAGACTAAAGTTGGGGGTACAAAATGAAGGTCCCTGGGGGTGGGGAATAAAGTAGTTCCAGTTTACATCTTTGAGAAGGACAAGAGACTGGAGGTCTGAAATCAGTTCCCCAGGTAAGTTAGAAAGCCTGGGTCACTGGGGGAAAAATGAGGGACTGAGATCGTATGCTCTTCAAGGCTGCAAGGGGACTGGACCTGGGTCCTGGGAGGAGTCTGGGGACTAGGGTCTAGGGAGATGGAATTTGAGGGAGGGAGGCGGGGAACAGGAGGCTAGGACTCTGAATCAATCTCCCAGAGCGGAATCAGCGCCAGAGTTGGGTACCCCGGGGGTGTTCGGAGCAGGGGGTCCCCCATGCTAGGGCCCTATAGAAGGGGGAGAATCAGGGGACCCGAGGGCGGTGGGGAGATCTCCCCCTCCTGGGCCTCCAAAGCTACGAGCTGAGCGTCCGCGGGCCGCTTCCTCCCACAGGAAACCGCAGGCATCGGGCACACCCAGCCTGCAGGGAGCGGTGCCTACTGCCAGCCCGCTCTGTAGAGGCCCACGGGGGAAGCCGCCTGTCGTCAAGGGGGCAACAGCCTGCCGTCAACTGGGCGTGCCCTGCGGGGCTAGGGGCCCCGCCATGGGGGCGTGGCCGTAAAGCAGGGGCGGCACGGAGCGCCCTAGGCCCCGCCCACTTCCGCCTCTCAGTGCGCGGACCTCTAAGGCGGCTGTGGGTTTTTGGCTGCCTCTCCGGAGGCCGTTGGCCGCGCATGCGTAGTCAGCCGCTTCGAGGACCTGAGGTGGCGGTGAGCGCTCCTCCCCCCTCACAATTCCCGGCATCGGCACCGCGTGCCTGCTGATGAATCCTCAAAATAACGTGGTCTTAATCAGCTTAAGATACGCATCTCTCACGCCCCGTCCCGAAGGACCTTGGCCCAGTTCCAAAGCCTTTCAGACGTTTCCCTCTCAGCCCTGCCTCCACAGGCTCTTTTAGCTACTGCCTCTCCCTCCTGGAAACACAGCCCAGCCCTCACAACCCTGTGCTCCCCAAACAGACCATCTCGACCTCCCTCCCCAGGTTCCCTGAGCCTGAGTGCCTCCGGCTTAGTCGTCCCCCCCCCCCGCCACAAGTCTTGGGAATCCGCGCTTTTCCGGCGCCCTCCCACCAGACCCCTCCCGTGTTCTTCCAGTTTACACCCCTTTCAGCCCTCGAAGCCCCACCCCTCACAAGGCCCTCAGCCCCGCCCTCTACAGGTACCCTTGCCCCTCCCCTCTCAAGGCTCCGAAGCCCGGCCTGGGCGGGTTTCTGACTCCCTGCTGAGGTTCGCCAGCCTCAACCCTCTCCGGCCCCGGCAGCTCTGCCCTCCCCTGAAGCCCCGCCCCTCAGGCCCACCCAGTCCCTCTCCTCAGAGGCCTTTTCAGTCCCGCCCTTCATAGTCCTCTACAGCTCCGCCCCTCACAAGGCCTACAGTTCCGCCCCCACAGGTCCCGCCCCTGGCAGGACCCCTAAGCCACGCCCATCGCAGCCCTCTAGCCCCGCCCCTCGCGGGGCTCCCCTAACTCATCTGTTCATAGCACCCGAGCTCCCCGCAGGTCTCCTCGTGGCCTTCTCGGCCTCTCCTCCCCAGTCTCCCCTCCCACGGCTTTCTTCGGTGGCCTTGGTCCCTCCCCGGCTGCTGTCCTCAGGCCTCATTGGCCCCTCATCTCCCCAGTAACCAGACCACAACAGTGAGCTTGGAGCATCCAGGACAAGTAAGGCACTCCAGCCCAGCAGGTAGGGACCAGGCCTCACTCCCCTCAGCCGACGGGGTTGGGGGGATTTCCCCCTCCTCTGTGCCCCCTCCCCAAACAGCCCCGCCTCGGAGATACCGAGAGCCTAGAAGACCCCTGCCAGAGTCAGAGCCGCGACGCAAGACAGAGAATGTGAGAGGTGGGAGGTCAGGAGAGGCATGGGAAGAGACCCTAGAGGTGTCCCACTCCAACCCAGTGGAGGAATTGAGACTCAAAGAAAGGCCAGAGCTAGTTCTGGGGTCACTCTCTTCCAATTTCTAGTCCCTCGCTGTTCATCGCCCGCCCTCCTATAGCCCTCTCCTGCTCGCCGTCTAAAGGGGTCCTGTGCCACCCCTACAGGAGCCCCACCCTCTTTGGCCAAGATGCCTTTAGGACTCTCTGCTGGGAGCACTCGTTCCGAGGATGGAAGCGAGGCCTTCCTGGAGGGAACGGGTAATTCATACATTTTTTATTTCATTCATTCTTTTCCCGGTTTTCCCATGTTTCAGGTCCTGTGCAGCAGGGCACTGGGGACAGGGAGGGCCTTCAGGAGCGCCCTCTAGTGGGGAAACTCACAGGCTCCAGAATGGAGGTGGAGCCGGGCAGATGGGCGGGCCAAGCCTGGGGAGTGGAACGGCCGGGAAGACTTACTGCAGAAGTTTGAGCGGGGCCCAGAACTTCTCTCAGGAATTACCAACAGGATAAGGAAGGGAAGAGTGTTTCCGCAGAGAGAACAGCATATGACTAGAGCAAGCCTTCTCAGTCTCCACACTGTTGACCCTTGGGGTCAGATGTCAGATCATTCCTTGCTATCGGGGGGGGGGGCTGTCCTGTGTGTTGCAGGATGCTCAGTGCATCCCTGGCCTCTACCCACTTCATGTCAGTAGCAACCCCCAACCTGCCCCGCACCATGACAATCAAAAGTGTCTTTAGACATGGCCATATGTCTTTAAGGGGGCACAATTTCTCCTGGTTGAGAGCCACTGGGCTGTGAGAGATGGGGAGCTAGTGGGCGAGACCGGAGAGGTGGGTAGGGTCGGGTTTGTGGGCCCTTGAACACCAGGATGAAGAGCTGGGACTTTGTCCTGGAGATGCTGGCGCGCCAGGGAGGCCTGTGACAGCTCTAGGTATAGAAAGACCCTCTGGAGCTGTGAGGGGAGGTCAGGAAGTTAGGGAGGAGGCTGGGGTGATGGGGTGACAGTCCAGAAAGGGGAGGATGAGGCCTGAGCCAGGGGGATGGGCTGAGAGCGAGGAGGCGGGAGGTGGGGCTGAGGAAGGCTGGGCAGTGGGCTGAAGGGGAGGGAGGGAACAGCAATGGTGCCCCGGGGGGTCTTGGCACCTATCCTCAGCTTTCCCAAGTTCCAGGTCCTGTGCTTCTGGTCCCTGAGGACTGTGAGTCCTCCCAGGAGTGCCCTCTAGTGGGGAAACATGTGTGCCCAAGCCCTGGGTAGGAGTGGGTTTAGGGGAAAAATGCGAAGGTCGGCTTGGGGTACAGGAAGTGTGAAGGGATGAGGAAGCTTGAGGGATACAGGAACTGAGGTGCAGCCCTAGAGTGGTGTTGGGAACTGGGTCTGCAGTTCAGTTGCAGTTTGTGAGACCCTCAGGGAGCCAGAATTCCTAGGTGCTGGGGAGGGAGGGGCTGGAACCCGGATTCCTATGGAGTCCCTCCCTGGCCTGGTCCCACCTCAGTGGACTGGGAGCTGAGCAGACTGCAGCGGCAATGCAAAGTGATGGAGGGTGAAAGGCGAGCCTACAGCAAGGAAGTCCACCAGCGCATCAACAAGCAACTGTGAGCCAAGCACCTGGGGCCCTGGAGTTGGGGCGGGGCTGTTGAGGAGGTGGGTGCTGGCCTCCTCCTGGGGCTGACGGGGGAGGGAAGGCCCAGTGTGTCTGGACTTTAGTGAGGCCGAGCTCTGCCCCTTTCTGGCTTCCCCTCCACTTCCCTGCCTGGGCAGTGAGGAGATCCAGCGCCTGGAGGGGGTGCGGGACAAACTGCAGGTCCAGATCAGCATTGCCCAGAACCAGGTCAAGCGGCTGCAGGACAGCAAGAGGCTGGAAAACATGGGTCACCTGCTCAAGTGCCAGGTCCAGGCGCAGGCTGAGGTCAAGGAGCTGCAGGAGCAGACCAGAGCCCTGGACAGGCAGGTGGGTTCTGAGACCAGACTTGGTGGATCTTACTTAGGAGCATGTGTCATAACCTCTTTGAGCCTTACCTTCCTCATCTGAAAAATGGGGTTATTGAAAGCATCTCCCTGGGGGAGTTGTGTTCAGGCTCCGGTAGGAATATGAGTATTTAGTGCTTAGCACAGCCCCACACCTTCAAAAAAGGTGGTTAAGGGGCAAAGATTCACCTTCTGGAGTCAGTGAAACCTGCATTAGAATCCTGGTCCTGGCACATCAGCACCGTGTGACCATGGGCAAGTCTTCACCTCTCTGGGCCGTAGTTTCTTCATCTGCAAAAAGAGGATGTGGGTAACTCAGCAGAGTCTAGACAGATTTTTTTTTTCCTGGCCGTGCCGTGTGGCTTGCGGGACCTTAGTTCCCTGACCAGAGATTGAACCCGTGCCCCCTGCAGGGGAAGCACGGAGTCCTAACCACTGGACCGCCAGGGAATTCCCTAGACAGATTTTTCCTGTTTGCTTCAAGACTTTGTTATTTGGCCCTGCAAACAATGTGACTTTTCTAGGCCAGTGTTCTTTTCAGTTTTTAGGACCATGACTCATTGTGACACAGTTCATAAACACACAGATACAGTCCTTTTTGCCACTTCAAGTGACATATTCACAAGTTCCAGGGATTTGGATGTGGACATCTGGGCCGGAGGGTGAGGGGCATTTTTCTGTCTACCACATGCTCTATAGTTTTATTACATTTGACTTTCAATCAGTCTGTTTGTTCAGCTCTCAATATCACCCTGAGCTGCCTTTTGGAAGCTGAATTCTGTCTGATTTACACACCTCAAAATTTTGGCTGTTTCGTGGTAGTACAGAGGCTTAGTGTGTGTTGGCTGCCGGAGCTGGCTTTCCTTAGTCTTTCATGGGAACTCACCGGAGACAGGTCCAACCGGGATGATCTTATTATCTTGACTCCATGGATTCCTTTGCCCTAAGAAACTTGATTGTGGAGAACTGTAGGTCAGGTGGGTCCTCTGAATAGAGCTCTGTAAAGTTCCTCATGAGCTCAAGAAAGGATGTAGCTGTCTGGTGATTCATTCAACAAATATTTGTTGAGTGCCTACTAAGTGCCAGGTGCTGTTCTAGGTGTTAAAGACACAGTAGTGAACGAAACAGACAAGGGTCTGCTCTCATGTAGTTTACATTCTACTGGGGAGATAGACAATAAGCCAAATAAAAGCCAAAGATAGGGACTTCCCTGGTGGCGCAGTGGTTAAAAATCCGCCTGCCAATGCAGGGGACACGGGTTCCAGCCCTGGCCCGGGAAGATCCCACATGCCGCGGAGCAACTAAGTCCGTGCGCCACAACTACTGAGTCCGCATGCTGCAACTACTGAAGCCCGTACGCTAGAGCCCATGCTCTGCAGCAAGAAAAGCCACCGCGATGTTCTCATCGCACACCACAACGAAGAGTAGCCCCCTCTCGCTACAGCTAGAGAAAGTCTGCGCGCAGCAACGAAGACCCAACGCAGCCAAAAAAAACCCCCCAAAACCCCCAAAAAACTGAAGAAAGAATTTGTTCCAAAGAAATCACCCAGAATCTCGCACAGAGAGACAAAAAGATGAGAAACGTGGAAGGGTGGTCAAGACAATTGCAGATCTAGTGAGAAGGTTTAACAGTTGTCTAATAAAAGTTTCAGAAGAACAGAAAGAGAACGGGACAGAGGTAATGTGTGATAGGAAAATATCTGAGAACTTTCAAGAACCAATGAAAGAATGAATCCACAGATTCAAGGATGCCTTAGAGTCCAAAACAGGATGAACAAGAAAACCACGCTTATGCAGGACATACGGAAATTTCCAAAATATACAAGCAGCCAGAAAATTCTTAAAAGGCATTACTTTCAAAGGAGCCACAGTTAGACTGACAACTGATTTCTCAAAAGAAACATTGGAAGTCAGATTGTAAGTGTCATTGTAACTTCAACGTACTAAGAGACAAAGCTGTCAACTTAGAATTCTATGCCTAGTGAAAATATCATCGAAGAATGAGAAAGCAGAATACACATTTTCTGGCAAAGAAAAATGTAGAGTTAGCTGAACTATATGTGTTGAAGGATCAACTTTTAAAACTTCCCATCTGTTACTGACTGATACTTTTGTAAGGCTTGTGTCTTGTGTGACTTGCCACATGAATTCAACAGCACCCAAGAAGAGTTTCGAAATGCTTAGTCTCATTTTCTGAACCTATCACATCGGAGACTGATGACTGACAGACCTTGGATTTGTACCAGTTCATAGCAAAAATCTATGTATATATAAACATTTTTTGATAAAATTCAGCATCCATTCATGTTGAAAACTCTTAGAAAGCCAGGCATAAAAGGAAATTTCCCAAGTTTGGTAAAGGGCAACTAAAAAACATCTACAGCCAACATCATATTTGGTAGCGAAACATGGGAAAAAATTCTCCTTGAGATCAGTAACAATAAAAGGATGTCAGCTAGCAGAACTTCTATTTAACGTTGTACTGGAGGCCCTATCCAGTGCAGTATTGCCAGGAAACAAACAAACAAACAATTTAAAGATTGGAAAGGAAAAAATGAAATTGTCAGTATTTGTAGGTGATATATTTGTGTACATAAACAATCAAAAAGAATCTAAAGCTAACTTACTCTTAACAAGGTATTTTAACAATGTGGCTGGATACAAAATTAAGATTTCCCTGTGTTAGCAATAACTATTAGAAAATAGAAGAAGAAAAGACAAATTTATAATCGCCAAAAGAAGTACCTAGGAAGAAATCTAACAAAGGTGTGCAAGACCTCGATAGAGTAAATTGTAAAAGTTTATTGAGGATATTAAAGAAGAATTTAATAAATGTAGAAATATACCATATTCATGGATTGGAAGAGTTAGTGTTGTAAAATGTCAGATCTCCAAATTGATTTATAGAATCAATGTAATCCCTACAAAACACTAAAAGTTTTTATTTATTTATTTATTTTTTGCTATACGTGGGCCTCTCACTGTTGTGGCCTCTCCCGTTGCGGAGCAACAGGCTCCGGATGCGCAGGCTCAGCGGCCATGGCTCACGGGCCCAGCCGCTCTGCGGCATGTGGGATCTTCCCGGACCGGGGCACGAACCCGTGTCCCCTGCATCGGCAGGCGGACTCTCAACCACTGCGCCACCAGGAAAGCCCAAAGTTTTTATTTTTAATGGATGGAATTGACAAAGAGATTCTAAGGTTTATAGAGAAGTGCAATGAACAAGATGACTAAAATTTACTTAAAAGAAGAACAATGTGGAAGGATTTGCTCTATTGGTTATCAAGATTTATTATAAAGGTCTTATGGGACTTCCCTGGCGGTCCAGTGGTTAAGACTCCATGCTCCCAATGCAGGGGGCACGGGTTCGATCCCTGGTTGGGGAACTAAGATCCCACACGCAGCACGATGCGACATAAATAAATAAATCTCTTATAATTGATGCAGGGCTAATCAAGTGGGATAATGGGACAGAATAGAGAGACTGGGATGAGACCTATGCATATGTGGACACTTGATATTTGACTTCAAGAAATGGGAAAAGGAGGATTCTAATAATGGTGCTGTGAAAATTGGATATCCATACTGTAAGATGAAACCAGACACTTACCTCTCACTATCCCCAAAACTAATTCCAGATGGATCAAAGGTCTAAATGTGTGAAAGTGCAGAACATTTCTTAAGTTACAGAAATCTCTACTTTTAAAGGAAAAGATTGATACATTCCATGACTTTAAAATTAGTAACTCCTGTTCATCAAAAAACCATAAAGAGTGTGCAAGGGCTTCCCTGGTGGCGCAGTGGTTGAGAGTACACCTGCCGATGCAGGGGACACGGGTTCGTGCCCCGGTCCTGGAAGATCCCACATGCCGCGGAGCAGCTGGGCCCGTAAGCCATGGCCGCTGAGCCTGCGTGTCCGGAGCCTGTGCTCCGCAACGGGGGAGGCCACAACAGTGAGAGGCCCGCGTACCGCAAAAACAAAACAAAACAAAACAAAAAAACAAAAAGAGTGTGCAAACTAAGTCACAGTGCTGAAGCTTATTTGTACGACATAGCTGACAAAGAACCTAGCATCAAGGACATATAAGGATCTCTTACAAATCATTAAAGAGTCAGCTCAATTTAAAAACAGTCAAAGGAAGGCTTCCCAGGTGGCACAGTGGTTAAGAATCCTCCTACCAATGCAGGGGATGCAGGTTTGAGCCCTGGTCCAGGAAGATCCCACATGCTGCAGAGCAACTAAGCCCGTGAGCCACAACTACTGAAGCCCGCGTGCCACAGCTACTGAAGCCCACCCACCTGCTCTGCAACAAAGAGTAACCCCTGCTCACCACAACTAGAGAAAGTGCAGCAACAAAGACCCAATGCAGGGAAAAATAAATAAATAAATTTAAAAAATAAAAATTAAAGAAATAAAAACAGTCGAAGGACTTGAGTGGGCACATCACCAAATAAGAAATTCAGATGTCCAATGAATGGAAGAATTATCACTCATCAGTATTCAGAGAAAGGCAAATGAAAGCCATAAAGAGGTATCATTACACACTCACCAGATTTTCAAAAATTAGTGTCCAAAAATACCAAGTGCTGGGAAAAGAAGGAACGGTGGGAATTCTTATGAAGTGTTGGTTGCTAAGACCCCACCAGTTGGTGGGAGTCTAAATTGTCATGAGTATCCTGAAAAGTTTTTTTCCCCCATTATCTATTAAATTTGAAGAGAGACATACCCTGCGATCTGGGGTTGCATCCACTCCACATGGACGGTCACCAGAAGCACTGTTGGGCTCTACCTGACCATCACACTCACAGGATCCAATAAGCTGTCACTTGGCACCAGGTTCACTTAACTGTGTAGAAGGAAAGAGGACAAGAAACAACAGCATCTTTGCACAACAGCATCCAGTACATCTTCCTTGAGCGTCCAGGGGCTGCTTCTCAGCATCTTCAGTTGGATGATACTGTACGGGTGGGTGTTGCTTGCCC